TCTGTCCTCACTCTTTAAGAAGGACTCACTATTTGATTGTTGTTTCTCTGAAAACTTCTTCCTAATACATCTGGCCCCTTATAGAATATGGAATGAGATAGGTATTTGCCACATTCTTTCCACTGTGGATGCCTCCTTGGAAATCTGGGGGTGGGGGTGGGGAATCTCCTTCCTCCACAAAGCATGGGCCTCACACATAGTCAAGAGAAGAAACTGATTATTGGTTTCCAGTCCTCACAGACCATTAATTTTTTTTAATGTCTCAAAACCTGCTCTCCTGAGGCTTTTCTTTAAGTACAGCACCTCCTTTGTCTCTTCACTGAGTCACTAATTGTCACTCTCCAATTTCACTGACAACTCTGCTTCCTAATTTATTCTACACTAAAATTGAAAATCTGGATCACATCCTAAAAGTGTTTAGTGTGCATATGATGCTTCTACCTACATACTAGATAGATCCTCAGTTACTCGTAAGAATACCAAATCCTGTGGGTCAAACAAAGGTGAATTTATTAAACTTACTGTAGCATGGGGAAACACTGCTTTGGTAGAGCCATAACTGTATCCAAAATGAAGGAAGAAATTAAATGCCTTTTGTAAAATTTGGGGATCTGGGGTCAACTGATTGAAGATGGGTCTTTCAAGAGGTCACTAGTTTGAACTGGACAAAGTTTGTGACATAATAGGCAAGAGTCTTGAAGCAAGTCATGACGAGCTGATTGTTGTCCTCATAGATGTGCTGTTAGTCCAGGTGAGAAATCTATTCTGTTTAGATAGCTACTTTCCTGATAAGCACAATGTCTGCCTAGATAAACTGGTATACAGAGAATATCCTGAAGCAAAAAGTGAAGTTATTTATTGGTATGCAGTCTGAACTTTCTGGCTAAAAATTTTTAAGCGCAAGCAGTTATGTTGACACAGAGGATCTCGGTTTTCAGAGATGACCAAGAGGGGAAAAGATCCTGCTTGAATGATTTCCTCAGGACAAAATCATTCCTTGTAAGGAGTAAGAAATTGTAGCATCAGATCTAACAAATTATTTAGATCTTGAACATGAGTTTGTAATTTGATTTCAACTAACGTCAGTTCTCTAGAAATTAAAGCGCAACAGATGTGATATAATTCTTCTAAATGACCCACGACCATCAGCTCTTAGTTATTCTTCTAGACAAACATCTCCCCTATGGAAGGAAAGCATTTCCAAGGTGAAGTTCTCTTAAGAGCTCTTCTTCCTGTCCATCACAACTCCCTGTCTACTTGGACTCTGCAGCTCTAATGCAGAAAGATTCCTCAGCAAATTGGCCTTCCTTCTTTTGATTCTTCTACTTCTTCTTCTTCTTCTTCTTTTTTTTTTTTTGAAAGTTGACATGAATCATTTCTCTAACGATCCCTTCCCTGGAGCCATTTTTCTTACTCTTTCTTTTCTCCTTCCTCAATTGGTATGAGATATTTGCCTCCTCCTTTACACTCAACAGCCACATTTTAAAAAGTATTTCATCATCTTGGCTTTCATAATGGAAATGTTAAATTTTCCACAGAGGACGTGCCCTGGAGGGGAGTTTTGCTCACACCTTAGAATGGATGTCAGTTAATATTTAGACACAATTAATTAACGGTAAACCCTAAGGCAAACTTTGCTGTTAGGAAAATCAGACCATATCCCCAATTGAATGAAGGGCTGCTTCCCTGACCAAGTCACCAGATGTTCTATTATCAGCAAAGACTGACATCACATGGTTGGTGGATGGGGACATAGATTAATTAAGAATATTTAAAATATATGGCTGAAATAGTATCAGACTTTCTTAAGTTGCCAAAGTTCCCCTAGCTCTTGAATTTTTCTTCTACCACATTTCTCCTCCTTTCTACCACATCCCAGATTTCAGTTCAAGATTTCTAAAAAGCCCTTTGACTCACAGTGAGGTCTTCTCAGACCTTTTTCACATAATTCAGCCTACACTGATTTGAAGTTTTTATTGCCACCACATCCACTGAGAATTATTTAAGATCCTCATGTTCATATTTTCACCTCAGTATGTAAACAAGACTAGATATGGTTGAATATGATTGAAAGGTTTATCCTGACATGGTAAATATCATGAAAATATACATGAGACAGAACATACTATTCACAAGGTAGTAAATACTAGAATTTACCCAATCTAAGAATGTGTAATTCTTCCTCATTTTAGAGTAAATCCATGAAATGTGCTTACCTTCTAAGAACTTCATTCAATATTTTTTGAATGCCTCTTGTGTATACTAACAACTTTGCAGGAATAACAAATAAATTCAGAAAGGATCCACTGGCAGGAAAATATCCAGTGTGTTGGGAAGGAAACACACTTCTTCCCCATCCAGATATAAATGGAGCCCACATCTAGCCTAATCCATACTTTTCTTTCATTCATGTCCAGCTTGAAAAGACAAACCGGGCATGCAGAGCTACTCCCCTTTCTAGTCACTTTACCTTTTAAGGTTTGGGATGTGCTGGAAGTTCATTCTCATATTGTACCAAACTTAGCAGTGTTGGCACATGCAGGATTTACTTTTTCTAAGATGTTTCTTACTAAGAAGTAATTGTCTAGTTTTTGAGTTCGGTATCAGGGACCCCATCTGCTACTGGCCATTTTGAGCTTTATCAAAATAAATGTATTACAGATGCCACTCACCTTATTGTTTGATCTTAATTGATTCATAATTCAGGTGGGAAGAGGGGTACAATTTAATTGATCAACATTTAGACCTCAATAAAGTGGGGAAATAACTATGATAAAGATTAAAGTTTCAAAGAATTTAAGAGAAACATAGAAAGGAAAGCAAGTAACTAACTGGAACACCAACAGTTGCAGAAAGAGAAAATCATGGAAGATTTCTTTAGATTGTAAACTCAAGGACAACAGGGGTCTTGTCTATTTGGGCTCATACTCTCTTCCCAGAATATAGCCATAGAGAATGAATTCATGAGAAAGGTCAAGCCTTCCATGATCAGGATTAGGATTATGAGATAGACAAGAGAGACACAGAATCTCTAGGCAAAGGAGGAAAAACTGATAAGTGGGCAGGGATAAGAAATATACATTGCTCTAAGATCAAATATACCAAAATGTTCACTTAATCAAAGTTGCCATCAAAATGAAAGCATAAAGTCTCTTTAATACAGAGAATGTACTTACCTTGTTATAGTATTTTTTTTTTCTCACAGCAGCCTTGGACATCTTTTTTATTTACACATTTAAGTAAAATAACTGTGATAAAGAATAAGACTATCTCTATACTGTAGAATAAGAAGTCAAAGATCTATTTATTCTGATTTTTTATGATACATTCTGAATACGGCTGAAATCCCTAAACAGACTTCCTGCCACTCAACCAATCGTTTTAATGAACTATGAACTTTCAATGTACAATATTTATATTGATAGAACCACTAAGAGGTATGATTATTAGCAGGTTTCATGCCAAATTTTACAGCTGTTTTATTAAGGATGCAGTCATACTTTATTTTATTGTACTTTACTGTACTTCACAGATACTGGGGTTTTCTTGTTGTTGTTGTTTTTACTACAAATTGAAGGTTTATGGCAATCCTGCCTCCAGCAAGTCTATCAGCACCATTTTTCTAACAGCATTTGTTCACTTTGTGTCTCTGTGTCACATTTCAGTAACTCTTGTAGTATTTCAAACTTCATTATTATATTTGTTACAGTGATCTTTGACCAATGATAACAACTCGCTGAAAGCTAAGATGATGGCTAGCATCTTTTAACAATATTTTTAAATTAAGGCATGCACTTTTTTTTTTTGAGACCTAACGCTATTGCATGCTATTTTCTTTTTAAGGAAGTAAAGGAGGATAGGGACTGTGAGGTATTGGACTGTATTGAAGTTATTTTATGTTTATTTGCTTTTGAGAGAGAGAGAGAGAGCGTGAGTGGGGGAGGGGCCAAGAGAGAGGGAAACAGAGAATCAGACGCAGTGCTTGAACACATGAACCACGGGATCATGACCTGAGCCAAAGTCAGACACTGAGCCACCCAGATGCCCCAAACATAATGCTACTGCACACTTTAACAGACAACAGTAGGGTGTAAACATAACTTTTACATGCACTCAGAAACCCAAACAATGCATGTGACTCACTTCATTGTAATATTTTCTCTCCAAGGGTGGTCTGGAACCAAACACGCAGAATTTTTAAGATATGCTTGCATTGGGTATACTAATTTACAATTCTTACCAGAGGCACTTCCTCATCTGTCTTCATTTCAAAATGTGGTGGCTATCTGTCCTGCCCTAATTCCTCTTAATTTCACAGTCAGCAAACCACTCAGCTGGGGAACTGCCCACTGAAAATCTTAACAAGTTGGGGTACAGTATGGCACCCCCTGAGATAACAGCAAGCCCTGTTTTGTTCTATAGAGTTACAGGCAACAAGGCTTTGAAATTAGGATCAACAAAAACTTTGTTTGTTGCCCTTTTTTAAAAAAAATTGTTTTTTGTTTTATCTGTGTATATGTTTTTAAAGAATAAGAAATGAACTTTCTGAAGAACAAAGGAAGCAGCAACTCCAGATGTATTTTAAGCCTAAGGAAAGTTAGAAGCCAGAAGAGAATATGAGTGGCAGGACATATACAGTCGACCTTTAAAGGTTTGATTTCTGTTTTAAGTTCTGCAAACGCCCCCGGCTTTCCCCCACATAAAATAAAAAAACCTGACTTATGTTCAAATGTGGCCTTCGCCCTTCACCCTAACACCAAACACCATGAGGAAAAAAAATTAGGGTGGGAAGGCAACACGTCTATAAAGATATGAATATCCATCCCCCGTACCAGCTGAATCAAAGATGAATCTCTGAGATTTGAGCTTGGTGGAGAATCACGATGTAGTGTGATGATTCTTAAGCATGGGGGGCACACTCAGAAAGTGCTTTGTGGCAGAGCTGGTGAAGAACGTGCCGCCCCATCTCTTCTTCTGACCATCCTTCCCGAATTACCTACCAAGAGACGTCATTTGACCCTGGACGCGAGTCCCCGCAAGGCAAAATCACGTTGATCTGTGATCTTTGTTTCATCTGAAGTTTACGTCCTCGGATCATTAACGCTATGGCTATGTCCACAGCACAATAGTAAGCAATGCAGAATGGAAGAAGTTATATGATGAATTGATACCCTCCCCCCGCAAAAAAAAAAAAAAAAAAAAAAAAAAAACCCAACCAAACAAACAAAAACAACAACAAAAAAACCCTCCATGAGACAAGTCTACTTTAGCCTAAAATATTTAGAAAATGAAGAAAAATTGACCTTACTGTTAGCTGAAAAATATACATAACTGATTCAATTTTCTATTTTACTTTGGAATAGACTGAGTTTTATTCTCTACTCACTTAGAATTTAGTTCATTACTAATAAAGACCATTAAAAGGGTTGCTTAGAACTATTTCTGCCAAGTTCAGTATTATATTTTTGCTAATGGTCATTGCAGCAAGAACAGTTTAAGAAAGCAGGAATGAGTGTGGATTCTCACTTACAATTCATAATCCTGATATAGAATACTTTGAAGCCTATTAAAATTATGAACTGCAGACAGTCCCATGGGTTTGTATGCTTAATAGTTATATTTTTTTAATCAAGGAGAAAGACAACACATAGGGAAAAAGATAGTAAGAGCCTGTATAGACAATGCACAAATCAAGTAACACAAATGGCCCATAAACATGCAAACTCACTAGTAAGGTTTAAAATATTAAATTAAAATGAGATACAGTAGCACAATACATCAGATTGGCAGAGATGAAAAATAAAGGCTTCTCCAACTTTCCCATGTAGCTTGCAATTCAAGTGAAAATACGGGGTGCCTAGGCGGCTTAGTTGGTTAAGCGTCCAACTTTGGCTCAGGTCATGATCTCATGGCTGGTGGGTTTGAGACCCAAATCAGGCTCTGTGCTGACTATGAGCCTGGGGCCTACTTCAGATTCTTTGTTTCCCTGTCTCTCTGCCCCTCCCCGACTGTGCTCTCTCTCTCAAAAATAAATAAACATTAAAAATATTTTAAAAATAAAATTGAAAGCCAATCACCAAGCTACAGCAGATGTTTCAACAATGTGTGCATCCTTTGTCCCTGCAATAGCACTTCCAAGGTTTATTCTCAATGAAATATGAAAGATTGATACAAGCTTCCATCCATAGCTTCAGGGGTATTATCTTATTTCTTTATGGTATTGCAAAACTTGGAAATAAACATTATATCCAAAATAAGAATTGGTTAAATACTTGTGTTAAACTCACATAATAAAGCACCAGGCAGCCCTGAAAAATAATGCATCTAAGTTTTAGGTAAAAATAAATTTAATAATATAGAAAAAAGATAGTTATGACACAACGTATTGGAACACAAAGCCATTTTACAAACGAATGCATAGAAGTAATCTCTGCTGTATTTTTTGAAAGGGTATATATCACTAAAATGTTAACCAAAGGGGTTGCTTTGGTTGTAGAATTTTACGTATTTTTAGCTTTTGACAACTAAAATGCACGTAATATAATTTCTTCCTAATTTACATTGAACAATTCACAAGGAAGTTAAGATACACAGGTCATCTACAGCAAGGAGAAGAGAACTAAAATCGTGAGTCCCATATCATTAAGTAAAGAAAGATTATTTGGTTAAAAGCTATATGAACATAACTCCAAATAACTTAAGAAAAGCACAAAATGAAGGCATTCTCTGTTGGCTGCCTATTTTGGTCTTCAAGACACAATTTACAAAATTCTACACTTCTTATTGGAATGGTTTAGTCAAAATATGACTGAAAGGGAGTTCAGCCTAATTGTTCAGGAACAAGAGCTCAAGTCTCCTCACATGAGTACTGGATTTTAATGCCACCCTACACTGGATAGTTCTTTAGTGATTGTTTCTAAACATTAATGAAATTCCATTTACTTTCCTAAGTAAAAGATGTCATATAAATTCATAAAGATGATAATGACATGCTGTTATAAAAGAAAAACATGTTTTTATTTACAATTCTCTTTCCCAGTGGTATTTTCTGTACGCTAAACAGAAGTGGAAGTTTTGCCTGAATTATCAGGATATTGCCACACTTCTGGTCTTTGTTTTGCTAGGAAATATCTAACATATGGGGCTTGCCCAAGGTTGTTTAAAAATGAAGGAAATGCCATGAGGGGAATACAGACATTCTGACTAATTCAAATGCACCTCTCATTATTCATTCATTCATTCATTCATCCATCCATGCCAACCCAGTTGAGTTTGTACAATCCATTTCTCCCCTACTGGGATCTTCTCTTCTTCCTCTGACTGCATTTCACACGTCTGCTTCAATACAGATAGCTGTCTTCTACTCTCTTCCTTTCACAAAGTTGACATGCCTTAAAGGAAACAATCCATAAAACTAATAGGCAACTGACAGATTGGGAAAAGATAGTTGCAAATGACATATCAGATAAAGGGCTAGTATCCAAAATCTATAAGGAACTCACCAAACTCCACACTCAAAAAACAAACAGTCCAGTGAAGAAATGGGCAGATGACATGAACAGACATTTCTCCAAAGAGGACATCCAAATAACCAACAGACACATGGAACGATGCTCAGCATCCCTCATCATCAGGGAAATACACATCAAAATCACACTGAGATACCACCTCATGCCGGTCAGAGTGGCTAAAATGAACAAATCAGAGGACTCTAGATGCTGGTGAGGATGTGGAGAAACGGGAACCCTCCTCCATTGTTGGTGGGAATGTAAACTGGTGCAACCCCTCAGGAAAACAGTGTGGAGGTTCCTCAAAAAATTAACAACAGAAATCCCCTATGACCCAGCAATAGCACTGCTAAGAATTTACCCAAGGGATACAGGAGTGCTAATGCATAGGGGCACATGGACCCCAATGTTCATAGCAGCACTTTCAACAATAGTCAAATTATGTAAAGAGTCTAAGTGTCCATCAACGGATGAATGGATCAAGAAGACGTGGTTACCTATACAATGGAATACTACATGGCAATGAGAAAGAATGAAATCTGGCCATGTGTAGCAACCTGGATGGAAATTGACGGTGTTATGCTGAGCGAAAGTCAGGCAGAGAAGGAGAGCTACCATATGTTTGCACATATAGGAGGATTAGGAGGAAATTAACGGAGGACCATGGGGGAGAAGAATGGGAAAAATAGTGGGGGAGAGGGAAGGAAGCAAACCATTAGAGACTCTTGAATACTGAGAACAAACTGAGGGCTGATGGGGGGGAGGGAAAGGGGAGTGATGGGCATGGAGAAGGACACTTGGGATGAGCACTGGGTGTTATATGGAAACCAACTTGACAATAAACTATTAAAAAAAAAAGTTCACATGCCTTTAATTTCATAAGATCTTTAGCCTTTCAATAAATAGATTTTAAATCATACACTAACTCCCTATAGTTGACAATGGTCACCTGAAATGATTTGTTGAGAAGAATTCTGAAGAAAAAGGCAAAAGGATTCTGACTATATCCCAATTAACTTGGAAAACCCCCATGACTGCTTAGTGTTGGCCATTCACTAAATTGAGGGGAGGGATAGAGATAATTAGTTTTCACTTTCAAGGAGTGCATTTCTAGCTTGATCTTTCACTCCCTGTCTCTTCCTTACTATTGTGGACACAGCTACCCTGCAATAAGCTTGCCCCATCAGTGTCCTGGACCTGAAACAATCACCTATGTGGAAGCTTGGTGAGAGCTGTCATGGAGCCCCAGATTCTTCTTCCTGATTAAGAGAAACCTTTTGCCTCTTCTGGGTACTCAACCCAGTACAACTCAGTACAATCCATTACAACCCAATACAACTCAATACAGGTGAATGGAGAGGGAGGCAAGATGGCAGAGAAGTAGGGAGCCCTGTATATTTTACTTGCCCCCATCTCTCAAACAGAGAAGACATGAAGCCATAGGACACTGAACCATGGGACTCTGGGAGGAAAAGAGACAGAGTCCATTGAGAGGACAACCTCATAGGTGTGGGAGTGTGGACTGGGGAAGATAAGGACAAGCCGGGACCTGGACACACAGAGGGAGGGGAAGGAATCCCCTTCGTGGGGAGCCGCGGAGAGTCGAGGGGAAGAGAAAAAGTGGCTGAAGCTGCTCATAGAACTGTCCCTGGAGAAGAGAAAATCTAGGGCACTTGGGTGACTCAGTTGGTTAAGTGTCCGACTTTGGCTCAGGTCATGATCTCACAGTTCGTGGGTTCGAGCCCCTTGTTGGGCTTTGTGCTGACAGCTCAGAACATGGAGTCTGCTACAGATTCTGTGTCTTTCTCTGTCTCTGACACTCACCTGCTCATGCTGTCTCTCTCTCTCTCTCTCTCAGAAATAAATAAAACATTAAAAATTTAAAAAAAAAAAAAAGAAGAAGAAGAAAAAGAAGAAGAGAAAAACCTCGGCTCCAGACAGAGAGTGATCTTATTTCTAGCTGTGGTGCTAACTCTGGGCTCGATGCCCCAGTCCCAGGTGGCGTCAGGAGAAACTGCTCCACTGCTCTCCTGGCTTGATCCCTGGCTGGGAAGCAGCTGGGCCTGCAGGATTATATTTCAGGCAGTATCAATAAAGTGCGTGGACTAAGACCTGGAAACAAGATGGGGCTTGGGGCATAGAACATGGCCCACCTTGGCTATGCCTGAGGCACAGGGAGATCAGACCCGAAAGAGTGATTTGCAATGCTTGGTTCAAGAAGGGACTGAGGAGTGGCCATTTTTCTCCCCACAACCACCTAGGCGGGACCTCAGGGAGCAGCCGAGGGACACGGTGGAGGCTAAGACCTGCCTACACCGGCGCCCATCCCCACCGGAGAGCTGCTTTTTTTTTTTTTTTTTTCTTTACCAGAGCCCAGGGAAAGACCAACATGGATGCACTGCCATGATTAATTCTAGATCAATTCTTTCTATTCAGATATATTTTCCTTTGTCTCATTTGTATCCCTCCCCTCTGCTGGACTGGGCACTCTGGTCATTGGTTTGCTTAAGCAGTCACATTTAATCCATTCTCTAGATGTATATTCTACACCTCCACTGCTACCTTTCTATCTCTCTCTCTCTGGAGTAAT